GACAACATCAAGGTCAATGCGGTCAATTCGGCCATCAAAGGCATATCCGGAGCGCGCCTAACCATCGACACGATTGATTTTGAGCCTGCTTATGAGCGTGCCATGGCCTATGCATGCGGCAGCTCTGTGGTTTGCGACAGCGAAAAGATCGCCAAGCTCATTTCGTATGAGAAGCGCATCCCCGTCAAGACCGTTACTCTGGACGGCCTGGTCATTCACAAGACGGGTATGATGACTGGTGGTCGTGGCCCGGAGCAAAAGGGCGGGAAGCGTCGCTTCGAAAGCACTGACCTTGAACCCCTCAAGAAGATGGCGGCCAAGTATAAGGAAGAGATCGAAAAGCTCCCAAAGTCTGGGCGACGTAGCCCTGCTGAGGAGTCTCTTCAGATTGAAATTCACGGCCTTGAGCCACGCCTGGCGGCCGCCAAGGCCGAACTTGCCCACCTGGAGAAGAACTACAACAGCAAGAAGAGAGAAGTAGATCACGAGAGTAGGCAGCTTGACGAGCTGGAACCCAAATACGAGGAGAAGAGAGCGGAGCTCGAGGCAACCAAGCGTACTGTCAAGGAATTCTCCGACGCTATCGCCAAAGTGGAAGACGAAGTCTTTTCTGGTTTCTGCAAGAGACTTGGCTTCAGCGACATCCGAGCCTATGAATCGGAGCACAGAGATCTGCAACGAGAAGCTGATGAGGAGCGAACCAAGTTTGAAGTACAAAAGTCCAAGTACCAGAGTCAACTCAGCTGGACGCGCGACATGTATAACAACCTGGACGCAAGGCTGAAGAAACTGCAAGAGGGGTTGAAGGCATCGGAACGAGACCTCCAGACCTATCAGCAGGAGAAGTCAGATATCGAGGATGCTAGCCACGAGGTATCTGACGAGCTCGACGCGCTGCGGGAGACCCTTCAGGAGAAGCGCGCTACGCTAGAGGTGAAGAGCCAGAAGGTCTCACAGGCCAAGGCCGAGGTTCAGAAGCGAAGCAAGGAGATCGACGCCAGACAAAAGGAAATCAACGCTCTGGAAACGGTAGTCCAGAAGAACAGTGCCGGCAAGTTTGCGTTGCTTAGGCGTTGCAAACTGGAGCAGATGCAGATTCCTTTACAAGAGGGCTCACTCGACAATTTGCCAAACGAAGATAACCTGCTACGGCAAGACGCTGATGCTATGGACGTGGACGAGGAGGATGACGAGGAGATGATGACCGCCGCCCTCGAGAATCACGGCATCGAAGTCGACTATGACAGCCTGGACGAAGAATTGAAGAATGTACAGGCAACCTGCCACTTGCATATTATAAGCTGTGTTTGCTGACGTTTCTCTAGTCGGATGATGCTAGCGTTGAGGAGCGATTGCAAGACAAGATCGCGTCAATCACTTCGGAGCTCGAGAAGCTCAACCCCAACATGAGAGCAATCGAGAGGTTAGAGAGCGTCGAAACGAGACTGAAGAATACCGAAAAGGAGTTTGAGGATTCCAGAGCGGCACTTAAGGCAGCCCGCGATGCGTTCAACCATGTCAAAGCCCAGCGGTACGAGCTCTTCAACAAGGCCTTCTCACACATCCAGGAGCAGATCTCGCACGTCTACAAGGACCTTACACGATCAGAAGCCTATCCCTTGGGAGGGCAAGCGTACCTGGATATCGAAGAAGACACAGACACGCCGTACCTGTCTGGTATCAAGTATCATGCCATGCCGCCTCTCAAGCGATTCAGAGACATGGAGCACCTTTCTGGAGGCGAGAAAACGATGGCCGCCTTGGCTCTCCTATTCGCGATTCACAGTTACCAGCCTAGTCCTTTCTTCGTGCTCGATGAAGTAGACGCGGCACTCGACAACGCCAACGTGGACAAGATCAAGAAGTACATCCGTGAACATGCTGGGCCAGGCATGCAATTCATCGTGATCAGTCTCAAGACCGGATTGTTCCAAGACAGCGAGAGCTTGGTCGGTGTTTACCGAGATCAAGAAGTCAACAGCTCAAGGACGCTCACCTTAGATGTAAGTTGTGACTGGCAGGAACTTAGCTGAACAGAAGCTGACAATGAACTAGCTTCGAAAATATGCTTAGAGAGAGAGAAGATTGTTGACATGAAGGACGTAAATAACCGTTGTACCTGGCAGCGTTGGCAATCGGGCTTGAGGTCGTGGGTGTTGCGCGCAACCGACAGCTACGATGCTAGCAGCCCTGCATGCTTGACTTTTAAGAAGATGGATTTCGGGGCGGAGCAGGTGATTTGCACCCCAGATGATACCAGAGATGGTGTTGCGGCGACGCTAGGTTTTGGCGAGCCTGCGATGGAGTTTTGGACTGTAATATGGCCGGTGGATTCTTCCATTCACGTTATTGATGAACTCTTTTTCCCTCTGCGCCTATGATGACATTCGACAACATTCTCCGTCCGAGGTCTTCATCTACAACCGGTTTGATACTGTCGCATCGCTGACAAGCTCATTCGATCCTGGTTATTGTGACTTAACGGCTTCACAAAAAAACCAAAAAAAAAATAAAAAAAAATAAATAAAAAGTAGCCGCCATGGCAGGCAGTCTATCTTCAAGGTGGAAGCCAGCTACGATGACGCAAAGAGGAAAGATTAAAATTAACGACTTCACCACTTCCCACCACTCACCACTCACCACTCACCGTCTGTTCCACCTCATGGAATAATCGTTTTTAGGCGAATCTCGATTTACCCCATCTATAAGGCTTCTCGAGGCTATATTTGTTCTGTCTGCGCATGTGTTTGCTCTTGTTATTATCTGTCACGCTCCATCCTCCTCATTGACACCTTTCGCGATCTCCATCGTCATCCATGATATCTGTTGTCAATCACTTCATGACGCCGACCGCAGTGTGCAATCATCATCTGGTTCTAAGTCGTCTTGTGCGCCACAAAACGCATTGAATAGGTGGAATTACCTGGAATGGGCAAAGCGGGTGGAAGACCAGGACACACACACACACACACACACACACACACACACACACACACACACACACACACTGAGAAGAAGCACGGGTTTCCTTGAGGTACATATGCCTACTTTAGAGGGTAGCCCCACCTCACCCTTAGGTACTTTGCCGCAGCTACACCATCCAATCTACCTAAGGGAGTAGGTGCCTACCTACAACCAACTACCTTACTGCCCAAAGTTCACTTTCGTCTTTCCAACTTCACCTTCGTCGGATGGTCTACATTCAGCAAACCTCCAGCAAGAACAACCGCACACCATGGCGCAGCCTCTGGATCTTGCCAAAACGCTCGTCAAGTCGGTAATGCGCGCCTTCTACGAGACGCGCCACATCCTAATCATCGACGCGCTCATCATTCACTCAGCGTAGGCTCGGTTTCTGTTTCTGCCGCTGGTTGCGTTGCTGACAGTAGGACATCACAGACTGCGAGACGACGACCTGGCCTACTTGATGGCGACAAACACAAAAGACCTCCACAAAGCCTGCGGAAAGCTGAGAGAGGATCGCTTCTTGGCTGTGTATGCTCGCAATCTTCCTCTTGTGGTATCCGGTTGAAGCTGACGCCGGGCGCACTTCAGATACACGAGGTTAGAATATCGCGAGGACCCCAAGAACCCCGAGGCGAAACCGCGACCAGTGAATCGCACCTATTACTACATCGACTATCGGCAGACCATTGATGCCATAAAGTGGCGTGTATACACCGTCGACAAACAGATCCAGGGCACCACGGTCCCAGCAAGCGAGCGCAAGGAGTACTTTTGCGGACGTTGCAAGGCGGAGTGGACGCAGATGGAGGTTTTAGACAATGTTGGACCCGAGGGGTTCGTCTGCCACCGGTGTGGTTCGTCCCTTACGCACGATCTCGAGCGCAACTCGACTGGTCACGAGCAGTCGACACGGCTGAACAACCAGTTCAAGTTCATAACCGAATTGCTACCACGCATCGACGAGATGGTGGTTCCTGACAACACATTCGACATCGCAATTAGCAAAGCCTTGCCAGTAGTGCGAGATGCCAGTTACCAAACTGTCACTACCATACCAGTCTCGTCACTGCAACCGACCGCGGTCAAGGGTCTCGATAACGTTGGTCCCAAATCCATGTCAGTCAGCATCTCGACAACGGACGGCCCATCAGAGGCTGAGAAGGCGGCGGAGAAGGCGCGGAAGGAGAAGATTGCACAGCAAAACGCACTTCCTTCGTGGATGTCCAACAGCACTGTCACGGGTGAATCATTCTCTGCTGACGCGGGCCCGACGCCTGCGGCTAAGGTTGAGGAGGTCGACAGCAAGGAAGCCTTGGCCAAGTCAGGCGATAATCAAGAACATGCAGAACTGGACGATTATTTTGCTCGTCTTAAGGCCGAACAAGCTGCTGAGGCTGCGAGGGCCCTCGCGGAGGAGGGCTCGGACGACGATGAAGAGGAAGAAGAAGACGCTTTTGAAGACGTGACTCCAATGGGAAACAACACACCGATCCCGAAGGCGGAACCTGCTGCCGATGTGGAGGAATTACCAGCCAAGAGGGTGAAGGTAGAGATGCCAGATGATGGCGAGAGTGATGAAGACGTCGAATTCGAGGACGTCTGAGGGCGCGTTTACTCATTGTACTACTACTTAAAAGGCTCTTGAGAACTAAACTAATCATAAAACGATATCATCAAAGAAGACTGTGTGGGAAGCAGTTTAAGTGAAGCATGCAATTTGCAGTGCGATTGCGCATTGATTCGGTGACTATGATGTCAGCGTCGCGTCTGTCATGGCCGCGGATGAGACGTTTTTTTTCTGTTAAGCTATGGTACCCTCGAAACCTACCCAGCGCAGTACATTTTGCAGGCACCACCTTCATTTACACTGCTAACCTGCGGTGCAGCAAGCGTCTGGCCCTCTGACAATTCGAATGCATATCAACCCAATCTCATTCTTGACTCGGCTGCGCCGCGCCCGCCAGCCTTAGGCCCCGAGCCGACTTTTTTTGCTTGCCGGAGCATCACTAATACCCTCAGCTACGACTACAAGAATGGCGACAGACCTTGAATTTCCGTTGATTTTTCTCTTGCCTACGCACCTTGACGCTGATCGGCTTCATGAGCTCGAGGAGAAGATCCCAAGCCTGACTTACGACATACAAGAGGCTGAAGTGATTCTCGGCAATATCTCGAAGAGGCAAAGAGCTTTGTTTGAGCTACGGCAGAGGAAACTACAGACAGTGCCAGTGGAGGCAGCCGCCGAGTCACAGCCTCCGAGTTCTTCGTGCAAGCGAAAGCGGGATGAAGGCCGAAGCGACAGCTATTCATCTGCGTGTACCGAGGATGGCCCCAGGAATGGATCAGCCGCTTGGCCAATCCCGCAGACACTCCTGAAATCTCTCGAAGCCGATATCGTTCGAGTAGTAAAGCTCAATTGGCTTACTGAATCCCTTGATCAGGGCCGGGTCCTTCCGCTTCGTGACTTCGTCATCTACGAGGGCCGTAAGTGTGGTGAATCCAATACCTTGGTAGCAGTGAAAGGCAGCGACATACTAGCCCGTGCTGCCGCAGATACGACGTCGCAGGACCATCAGCATGTGTTCCGTCGGTCGGAGGAAAACGCGTCGGCATCAGCGAGTCAACGGACGACGATGCCTTCGCTGCTGAGACAGACAACCTCAGAGCACGACTCGACTCTCACTCTGCCGCCGATACCGGGTTTTCTGAGGACAACGTACGCATGTCAGCGGGCAACGCCTGCTGATCCTACAAATGCAGCTTTCATCGAAGAATTGAAAGCGATTCGGACAACGAGGAAACTCATGGGTGATCAGATCGGCGTGAGAGCATATTCCACCTCGATTGCGACATTATCCGCATACCCATACAAGATCTCAAGCCCGCAAGGTCAGTGCCTACATGATATCTAACATGCGGTGCCTGACTCTCGATGTTGAACAGAGGTTGCCAGGTTGCCCGGCTGCGGCACTAAGGTTGCTGAGCTGTGGCATGAATGGAAAGACGCAGGCAGGCTCGGCGAGGCCTCTGAAGCTCAAGCAGATCCCAAATTATCGGTCTTACGGACGTTCTATGACATATGGGGAGTTGGCGACGCCACCGCTCGAGACTTTTATAAGAAAGGCGGGTTATCAAAATTCTCGGCATAAAACTATGCTGACCGAAACGCAGGTTGGCGAGATTTGGACGATATAGTAGAATATGGCTGGGACGACTTGTCACGCGTCCAGCAAATCGGTGTCAAATTCTATGAGGAGCTTAAGCTCAAAATCACCCGTGTCGAAGTCGAGTCCATTGCCAACACAATATTAAAGCATGCGCGCAAATTCAGTCCTGGCTACCAGATGGTCGTCGTTGGTGGGTACCGACGTGGGAAGCACAACAGCGGGGACGTGGATGTGATCATTAGTCATCCAGATGAGTGTGCCACACTCAACTTCGTCGAGAAGCTTGTGGTGAGCCTTGAGAAGAGCGGGCAGATAACCCACACCCTCACGTTGAGCAACAACAATAGCGAGCGCGGCCAGCGACCACTCAGCTGGGACGGAAATCAGGGAAGGGGGGTCGGCTTTGATACACTGGACAAAGCACTCGTGGTTTGGCAGGAGCCGGAAATGAGCGATCGAGGCAGGTCCAGCAGCGTCGATTCCGCCAGCCAGAGGCCACCGCATCGAAGGGTAGACATTATTATCAGCCCCTGGAAAACGGTTGGCTGTGCTGTTTTGGGATGGAGCGGGGACACGACGTTCCAGCGGGATCTACGCCGCTACTGCAAGAAGCAGAGGGACTTGAAGTTTGACAGCAGTGGTATCCGCAGTCGCCTTGACGGTAGCTGGTTGGACCTGGAGGGGAATGGAAAAGCCCCGGACATGTTAACGGCGGAGAGGAGGGTGTTTGAGGGCCTGGGGCTGGACTGGGTGCGTCCGGAGGATCGGTGCACGGGGTGAAGAGACGATGCTTCACTCCTCGTAGAGTCTAAATGGACGCAGACAAAGATGGCGGAAGGGGTTGAGGAGACGATGCCTGAAGGCCGAGATGGCATGGCCACAAGCCATGAACAGTTACTGCGTTTGGAGCCAAAGCCCCCTAGCAGCACATCGATGGTGAAGCGGGAGTTAAAATGACGTGCTAATTGGGTCAGCACCTTATTAGAAGTTAAAACCACTCGCATGCTAAAGCTTCATGTAGGGCTGAATAGAGTGCGAATGGCTTCATTGCTGGCTTCGATTTCTTCGGGGCGCCATCGAAACTTCTACGTCTTTGATGACAATTGGTGTCGTCTGAAATCCGAGGTCTTTCATCGCACACGTAACAGAAAACCCAAACTCCGCCGAATTCCGCAAGGCAGAGGTCGTGCAAGACAATCAGACCTCGTCCGGGTCCAGCGTTATCTCGTTTCAACAACGTTCATTGGCCAGATTTCCGTGAATCGGTAGTCGGGCGTTAAGTGTGGCCGTCTCCATCCCGTCAGTAGCTTGTAGGCAGACTCGCCGTCGCAACGTGAGTGGGCACAGTTCGGTGTATTTTGGCAGGACCAGCTGAACGGGAATGGACATTGAATAAGCTGCTCCTCTTAGCGAGCGGAGAATCGGGGCGGACAAGAGCCCAGACACCTGGCGTCTCGAGCTACCTACCTTGGTCCCCGCTGTTAGGTTCCTCCTCCTCCCATCTAAGTTTATAACTAGACAACTTCCATCACTCAACTAGCTTTACTGTACCCTGCTTAATTGACCTCTCGGACGCAGCGGAACAGAGTACACTACGATCAATAACCGTCAACTTACCACCAGCCCACCAAAAACTCCGCATCACTCCTAGCCACAATGCCCATTACGCTGCAGGTCCCCGACGAGTACGGGTATGTCACGTTCTCCGTCTAAAGCTCCCTTGCCGACTGTTAGCCTTGGAACAAGGACGTCATGCCAATTGCTAACGCATGAACCTTTGTAGTTACGTCCTTCTCGTTGCCGCTTCAACTTTCTTCATCAACACCACCCATGTTCTTCTGACGAGCAAGTTCCGCAAGGCTAGCGGTCTTGTCTACCCGGTACCTTACGCTTCCAACGAGGCCGCTGAGAAAGACCGCAAGGCTTACATGTTTAACTGCGGTACGTCTGCCCCCCTTTGGAACCCTGCAAAGCCGGACACTGATGAGCACCGCAGCGCAACGCGCCCACGCCAACTTCACCGAGAACCAGCCCTCATTCCTCGGCGCCTTGCTCATCTCCGGTCTTCGCTTCCCCGTTGCCAGCGCTGCTGTTGGAGCGGGCTGGGCCCTCTCCCGACTAATCTACGCCTTTGGCTACACGAGCGCTGCCGGCCCCGCAGGTCGCGTCCGGTGAGTGCTCCATGGCACAATGTGCACTAGAGAATGCCCTGACTGACTGAACAACAGTGGTTCAATTGGGTCGTTCCTCACCGATACCGCCCTTAAGTTCATGGCTCTTTACACATCCGTTGCCATGATTATGGACTGGTAACTCAAGTCAGGGTCAGTCGGCACCGATTCATATGAAATCTGTAGTTATACACGCTGTCAAACAATCTTGTAGGAAGTTGCGCGCCTATAACTCAATAAACGCAAGTCTTCCCTCCAATGGAGATAAAATAAAAAAGAAGAAAAGTGAAAGGGGAACGCGAGCAGGTGCTCGCGTATCGCTGCGTGCTTGACATGCATGTCTCATGCCCTCTAATATGTAAACCCGCTTTCGCCGTAACGCCAGTCGTACACACTTCATCACAAAGGGGGAAAGAAATATTTACCCCAGTCTTATACATCATGTCCATCCCTTTCGCCCTCACTCTCGCGCGCCTCTACATTGACGATCGTTCTTCAATGTCAGCAAACGGTCGTGTTCATCTCCTGCGCCTCATCCGTCTAAGCTCGACGCCACGATCTGCGTCTTCGTCTGCCGGTCGTAAGAATTCGGTCGACTTCTCGATACCGTTGTTCCCCAGCAGATAGTCCCCAAAATACTTCATGGCGTTGAAGATCTCCTCGCCGACGGGCACAATGTTTTCCTTGGGAAGCAGGAAGCCATAGCTGCCAGTGTCACGGAGCTTGATCTGGTAGCTATAGTGCGCGTGCAGCTCGTGATAGAACCAATCGATGGCCGATCCCCCGCCAGTCTCGATGCGCTGGACGTTGTTGTCACCGCCTCGAGAGGCGACAGCACCTTCACAGGCAGAAGTGACCGAGTACTGTTCACCGTTGGAAAGACGAATGGCCTTGGCAAGTCCGGTCGCGAGCTCTTCGAGGTTCTCCACATTGGGTGGATCCACGTCACAGGAATAAGCGAATGGGAAGAGGATCTGTTGAGAGTACGAGTGCAGATCGATCAGCCCCACGAACTCAGCCTTCTCCTGAGACTGACTCTTCGCCCATTTTGCAAGTGCAATAGCTTCGGTTGCCTCCCAGGGCTCGGTGCCGCCATAGCTCTCGGAGCAAGGGTCGTTCTCAGAATCCAAACCGCTCCATTCGAAACCGAACGCGTGATCGAGGTCAAATCCACGGCACCACTGCATTCCGGTCTGTTGTCGGGACTTGCGCCAGAGTCGGTCGACTTGCCAGGTGTACTCGATGCCGTCGGGGTTGACCGCAGGAACGAAGACGAAGTCGAAGTGCTCGAGCAGCTTGGTGATCATGGGTTCCTTGCCAAAGGACGTGATGAAGGACCACGCGACGTAATTTGCTGTGGTTGTAGATATCCACTCGCGCGCATGCATGCCTCCAGTGACAACAACCGTTTTCCTTTTGCTGCCAGGAGTTTCAGGTGTTTTGACCCCGACCTTGAGAGCAGGAATGTCGCGACCTTCGAAGGACTGCCCGATGCTGATCATCTGAGTAATGGAGGGGAACATGGCTTCCATCAGGCGCATCCACGGCACAATGACCTAGGCTAGGTTAGTTCAATGGTATTGGGAGATAGTTGAAGGCGGTGCCGTTACGTACAGAAAGAGGCTGATACTCTTGGAAGAAGACGTTATCGCCCTCGTGACGGGATAGCTGGACTGACGTCCGGCGGTCTTCGAGGCGTTGAATTTGCGCAGGAGCCGCGACGGCCGGATAGGTATCGTAGACAGACGCAGCCAGATCAGGAATCAATGTGGAATATGAGGACCTCAGAGACGAGGGCAGCAGGCGCAAGAGGGAGGCAATGTCGGCATTGCGAATGCGGATGTCAACATAGTCGTGGTTAAACGCCCAAACATCGAGAAACAGGCGCGTGGCAGCCTCGGAGAAGACGGCCTCCTCCTCAGGTATAGTCAAATTGAATCGCAGAACGACCTGATCATTGTATTTGGTCCGAAGGCTGGCTTTCCCTTTGTGCGAAGCAGGACGGGCCGTCGACCTGGCCGGAGCGGGGCCGAACACGAATTCAATTGCACCGTCGCGCAGCCAAGTCAGAATTGGGAAGATTCGAGAGGTCGGGGAATTGTGATCGTTACGATGAAGATCGATGCGGGCAGCATTGGCGGAAGGAGCCAGGAGCGTTAGACTAGCAGCCGAAAACAGTAACACTTGGGGACGCATTTTGGAGGCTCGGCGTGGGTGTTGTCGCTGTCGTCGCCGGCGTCGTCGTCGTCGTCGTCGTCGTCGTCGTCGTTGTCGTTGTTGTCTCGTCAGGTCAGGTAGATAATGTAGAAACGCTAGACGTGGGAGAGGGCTTGGATAATTATGAAAGAGGTCATATAAAGGCGAACTGGAGAGATTGCGACAGGTTCTGCAGCATGGCACTCGCCCCCCAAGTCGGAGGGCAGGGAAGCAACCTTGCGCAGGCAGCCGCTTACCTGTGTTTTTTTTTTTTTTTTTCCTCCCCCTTCCTAAATCCCGCGTACTATCGGAACCGTTGGGGTAACCCAGGGGCATCATCCCGACCAAGAACTCACTGAGACGAAAGCGTTGTAGTAGTCGAAATCATGCAATTTTTTCTCTCCTTTTTTGTTCTTTTACGTTGCCCCCTTTCTTTAGCTCCATGTATTCTGAAGCCGAAGAAAACACTGACGAGAGGCAAGCGTGGTCAGTGTCTTGGAACAGAAATTAGACGTCGACGCAGAGACCGGAAGGGTATCATCTCGCTTTCAATGGACGGGGTGCTCATTTCACAGAGGCCAATCCTGGGTAATTGACACTGGAGATCTGCAGCGATCATGGCGACTTTTGACGGTGTTCACGGCAGACTGGCTGTAGGTATTTGTAGGTAGGGGCAGCACAAGATTTGGGGGCCGAGACCACGACACTCGAGTCTGTACGCCACAACCACGACCACGACCACAACCCCTGAGACGGACCATGAATACGTACGAATACCTAAGTACTGCGGTACGAAGCACTGCTGGGTGTCAAGTCACGGTCCCGTCTCTTTTGGAGTGGGCTGGGCTGGGCTGAGCTGGGCCGGGCCACCAGTCCTGGTGGCCAGGCTACGGGGTGGTACACCATGCTGCCATCAATAAAAAGTCCCGGCGTGCATGCGCCAGCGGTCCCGGCTCCTGGAGGCTGGGCTGGCTCAGCAGGGGAGGGAAAAGGTATGAAGACCTACTTTGAGGTACCTTGCGTCGAGTGTTCGTATGGGCTGGAGACGCATGTAAAGTATCCGACTGTGCAGGTGAAGTATTGGCGGGGCTGCCCGGGCTTTCTGAGGAACAACACAACGACAATGGGATAATCAATACATCACCGGGCCTGACCCTGCTGACCGCCCGGCTGCCATGCCGCCCACTGACATCCTGCAGTAGCCCAGCAGCCCAGCAAGACGGGAGCCGCCAATGCCAATCCGGTGGCCCTACTGAGGTGGTCTAGAGGTACCTCACGAATACCTTAGTACAGGCGGGCCACATCAGCCCCGGCGGAAACCCCATCCTTGGTCCTTGCGCTGGGAAGGAAGGTTAAAAAAGCATTCTACTTTACCTCGTACGGGCAGACTGAGGTTCAGTGCAATCAAGCCCGAGCCAGCACCGGTGCTTACCCACCCACCTCACCTACCTACCTTACCACCTTACCTACCTGACCTCTGGCTCTGGCTCTGGACTCGTCGACAACGCGACACCATCTCCAATCCAATTCCCCTGTTTTTCTTGCTCTATTCGTCCATCACCATCTCTCGTCGTAAGGTGCCTTGCCTTGCCTTGCGTCCAACACCGCACCTACGAATACCTGACCCTGCGCTCCCATCATACCTAACGACACATACTAGCCACGAGCATTTCCCTTCTTCCCTTTCCTTCCCTGGCCGTCGTCCGTTTCTCCCCACCTCACTTTCCCATCCGTCCTTTCGCCCTCCCTTATTCGATCCCCTGCAACCGCACCGCATTACGTTGCCCCGTACCCAACCGGAGGATGCCCTGGCGTCCTGTCTTCTGCGTTGCACTGCGGCTGGCTTAATACCCTTTCCCTGCCTTCCTTACCTGACCTTACCTTGCCTCAACTCACAGTGAGGTACCTACCTACCTACCTACCTACCTACTTTATCTTACCTGCCTGCCTTACCGACTACCTAACTTGGACCTCACCTCATCTCGCTGACTGCCCGCCGACTTCTTTCCCCCTTCCTCACTTGCTCTCTCTTTCCCGCCATCATCATCACGACCCTTACTTCCAATGCGGCCTGCCTCCCTGTTCCGCTGCCCGCTGTGTTGATGGCCTAGTGCCCGGATCCAACGGCTTCCCTTCTCCTGGCTGCCGTCGTCATCCTCCCACTTTGATGTTGTATCCCTGGCAAACAATGACCCATCGCCGTCATGCCTTTTCTACGCCGTCGCGGCAACATGGTCAGCGAGACCGATATGAGGCGCCATACCATTCTTGATGCCGATGCGCCTCAGCTCCCGCCGCTCCCGCAACACTTTCCACCCCAGCAGCCTCAGCAACAGCAGCAGCCTCAGCAAGAGCAACAGCCTCAACAACCGCCGCTACCCTTGCCGCAACACCAACTGCAAGAAGTCCCCCGAGTCTCCGTGTCTGCCTCAATAAGCGAAATCCCTTCTACCTCCCTGACTGTGCCCGCGAAAACCGACGGTGACATCGATACCTCGACACAGCTCGATCCTGACGACCCAGACGCTCGACCAGATACTCCTCCAATCCAGGATGAGACGCCCAAGCATCGTCGCTTTTCAATTTTGAGGTTCCGCAATGCCTCGGACTCCCAACTGTCATTAAGGGCCAAGCAGCAGGCTGAAAAGCCTCCCCCTGTCCCTCGGCGTGTGTCTCCTCCAGTCCCTTTGCGGCACCAAAGCGCGCCTGGCCCTGTTCATTGTGCTAACCATCCGCGCCAGCCCCTGAGATCATCACGACCGCACCCACAGTCGAATTCCAAGTACCACAGAAGAAGCAGTCTCGAATGCGACTAGCCGACCGATTTCGAAGATCTGGTGAGCTGCCCAGAAACAGCGAGGATGGGGGCAACCGAGCCATGACGTGGAAGTCATCTAGGAGGAAAACGGGCCTGGAAGACCTTGCTTCTAGAAATCGGCCTACTCTTGTTACTTTCGAGGAACCCAGCCGCCCGTCTTCGTCCAGGGCTCCCACCAACGGAGACCATCACGATGGCATCGCCTTGTCACTACCCGCCAATCGAGCTTCCGAATCATCGCGATCCGATGCGAGCTTCGGGGAACAACTATACCCCACAACTACCGCAGGCACCGCAGGCACCGCAGCTAACTCTCCTCCAGTGCCGTCAAGCACTAGCTTCTTTCGCCTGGGTCGCAGGAAACCCAAAACACCATCACCCATGTTCGATTTATCACATCTGCCTCAAAAAGGCAAGCCCGCCGCTCATGGGACAGACAATAATGGAACATCCTCGTCCTCATTAGGCGCGGCTCAACCGCCCATCGCGTCCACATCCAGAGAGGGCACTCCGCGACCCCATCATGGCTCGAGGCCCCCATCAAGCTACAGTACACATGCCGACTCTGTGTCGTCCTCTGCCCCTGATCAGCAGCCACTCAAGACGAACCCCTCACCGGCAACTGCACTATTTCGTCCCGGCTCGACTCACTCCGGCCAGTCATCACCGACCCGAGCCCGGCTGCAACGCCGAGGAAGATCTTCGACCATGAGCTCTCTAGGCAGAGATTCGTTGGAAGGGCATCTCGATCCAGGAGCAAGTCGAACATCCACGTCGATTGGGCGCAAGAGCTTTGGCGATCTCTTTGGCCTGAACAGATTGAGACAAAACTCTGATCTGGGCCAGAGAACGGGCACGCTGACACCTGCAACCCCTGGCTCCAATACCTCCAAGAACAATTCACTCCAGATTGCGCGGGAGCCGATTGCATTGCCTGAGAAGCTCGAGGACGAAACGCCCGCCAAGTATTTGGCAAGGATAGAAGAGATTCTCAGTAGAGGAGTAATTGCGAGTGCGTTGTCCAAGGGAAGTGATCCTTTCGCAGCAGCCGTGTTACGCAGTTACATGCGCCGGTTTAGTTTCTTTGGTGACCCGATGGACATGGCAATCCGGAAATTACTCATGGAAGCCGAGCTGCCCAAAGAGACGCAGCAGATCGACAGGTGTTTGCAGGCGTTTGCGAACCGCTATCACGAATGCAATCCGGGCATTTATGCCTCCCCTGACCAGGCCTACTTCGTGGCGTTTTCGCTTCTCATTCTGCATACGGATGTATTCAACAAGAATAACAAGCACAAGATGCAGCAACCTGACTATTTGAAGAATACCCAAGGCGAGGGTGTTTCGGACCCGATCCTTCGATGCTTTTACGACAACATCACCTACACCCCTTTTATACACGTTGAGGACGACTTGGACCTCAATGGTGATCGACTTATGGCGAACAGAGCCAAGAGGAAAACCCTCTTTCCAGGAGGCACGCCGGAAGCGGCCGCGAAACGGTCCAACCGTGAACCCCTTGACCCGTATACGCTGATCATAGACGGCAAGCTAGATATACTGAGGCCGAGTCTGAAAGATGTAATGGAGCTCGAGGACCACTATGACTACCTGGGAACGGCGAAAGACCTCAACGTAAAGGAGCTTCAGCGGACATTCTTCAGAACTGGTGTTTTGCAAATTGTGTCGGCCAGGTCACGGCCAGATGCCTTTCGCGACGAAAAGAGCGCCATCAACCCTGCCGAAGCGGCGCAGGGCGTGGTCGATATCAAAATCACAAAGGTCGGTCTTTTGTGGCGGAAGGATGTCAAGAAGAAAAAAACCAGATCACCCTGGCAGGAATGGGGAGCCATTCTTACGGGCGCCCAGCTTTATTTCTTCCGCAACACCACATGGATCAAGAACTTGATGCACCAGTACGAATCGCACGTTAAACAAGGCTTCTACGGCGAACCAATCACGTTTAAACCGCCATTACCGGAGTTCAAGCCTGATGGATATCTCCCGACGAAGGAAGCCGTTGCGCTCGTAGACTCCACGTATAAGAAGCACAAGAACGCCTTCAAGTACTCTCGGCCTGGGGCCTTCGTTGAGGAGGTTCTTCTTGCTGACAATGAGGAGGAGATGAACGACTGGCTCGCCAAATTGAATTACGCTGCCGCTTTCACTACGTCTGGCGTCCGCATGCGAGGTGTCGTGGGCGGCAATTACGAGGGACAGAGTCGGCGGGGAATCAGGAGACTTGGAAGTTCGGCCTCGGCGCAGGTTATTCAGACTCCCACCGGCGAGGTCAGCATCGTTCGTGGTAAAATTGATCACCAGGAGGCCGAATCCATTCAGGCTCAGCGACGGCAGACCATGATGGACGCTGTTGCCAAAGCAGATGAAGAAATCGCCATCAAGGAGCAAGAGCTGGAGATCCATCTGAGAAACGCTCGCCATCTCCAGATTCTCTCACCCATCCAAGCCAAGACGAGGGATCAGGTTCTTTCGGCTGCTGCTCACATGGATGTCAAAATCAAGTGGATTCGTATGGACATGTGGAAATCCAGGTGTCATCGAGACGTTCTTTTGAAGGATATGGCGGAAGAGCAACGACTCCAAGGTCTGGTTCCAACCAAGTCTCAAAATGGCCATGAGATCCGCGAAGCGTCGCCATCTCGAGAAAGACCATCCATGCTCGAGGCAGGATCAGCGACAGGTGTGGGACGCCGACGCCGGAGGTCATCGGCAGCCATCTCCGTGGTTCAGGGGCCCACGAAGATGGCGCAAGGGGAGCCAGAATCGCCAACAAACGATGCTTACCAGACGCCGCCTACAAGTGCAACCTTCAATCCTCACAAACACCAGAACTCATGGGACTCCAAGGCCTCCAAATCTCAAGAGCCAGTCTACCGGAAACGACCCTGCTCCAGTTCTAGCCAATCCTCTGGTGAGCCGACGTTCTACAGCCCGCAACAGCATCCGACTCCTAGAAGAGGGAAGAACGAAGAAACGAGTGTGGCTGAGGAACATCATGATGACGTGGATGCGAACGAACGTGTCCTCCTTGAGCAGGCAGGCTTGCTGGGATCAGAATCTCAAGGCAATCCGCCTGAAAGAAAGCGAACCGGGTCACTGTCTGAAGCTGGAGATGCTTCCGAGTCGCGTGATACCCCGGGGTCCATCGACAAGCAAGACAGGACAAAGATCCGACGAAGTCTACAACGCACCCTCAGGGAGAGTGCTGGCCATCTTTCGCACCATCGTAGCAGGAAGGGAAAAGAGGTCGTCGCCGGAAGCGCTTCAGAAGACGCTGGTCGCGAAGACGTGCTTACTAGAGGCACTGGAAGTTTCGTGGTACACGGCAAGAAGGCGTCCGTCATCAATTTCGGTTCCGAACTGCAACAACTGACTCCCGAGGAGCGCCTGAGGCAGCGAAAGCAGGGTCAGCGCGATGAGCCTGCTTCCCCCGCCAGCGTCGAGGAAGATTTCCGCGACGCGTTGAATAATTCGTTACTTCCCAAGGAGCGCAGAGAGTCGGGCGCAAGCGCTAGCACAGCAACGGCAAGAAGCTTTCGTGAACTTCACCGAAAGTATTCTTCTGCGCATGCTTCTCGGTCGCCGGCCTTCAGAGGTCAACTCTCAGTGCCATCTGATGGTGAAAGTGAAGCTGCAGTCAGCTTTTCCGAAGGACGCAGGACGCCGCTGCCCCCAATTGAAAACGAGTCTGGAGACGAGGAGGAAAGCGACGCTATCGTAGCGAGTTCGGGCGTGACAAGCCCTACTGTGGCAAGTCCGCAGCCAATTCGTGCAGCGTTCTTATCTCCCCTCGAGCCGGTGACGCCTCAAGGACAGGAAAAAGGCGAAGAAGAAAAGGGCAACGAGATGCAGCGACTACCTAGTCCTCCGATCCAGGCGGTCAAGGCCTAGTCATCGGAATCGCTGCCTGCCCTGGGGACGAGACTCCCACTACGGCCGAGTGCATCTAGAAATGCGTGTTGAGCCGTCACGCCGAACGAGGCAGCTCGCTCGATGGCCCTCATACGTCAGAGAGCGTCGACAGGGTGACCGATGTTTGGTCCGTTGGTCTGAAGCGATAGAGGTGAGGAAACCCTCACTAAATCAGGCGCTGGTGGGTATGCACCCGTAGCGTCATTATTTGTTTTTCTTGACAACAAAAAGGAGGTGTTTGTAGTCAATCTAATGGCAGATGTGTACATAGTGTGGGCTCATGGCTAAGCGGGAATGGACACTGGACTTTGGGCATAGCATTGTGAGGCGATTGGGGTCAACAAAAAGGACGGCCGACATGGTTGTGGTGAGTAGAGCACAGCGGTCAAAAGTCTCAAAGAAAGACCTGTTGCACAGCGAATTCAATCTTTTTCTCTTCTTCTTCTTACTCATAGGTCATTTTGTTTGGATACGGGGTGTTGCGTAGACTGCATTTTAATCCAGCGCGCGAGTCCTCGATCTCATATCTGCGTCCTGCAAGCCGTTCATTTCTTGCCCTTTTTCTTCTTCTTGTTTGACGACGTTGGCGCCTTTTCGACCTTGACAGAACCGGCGCCACCTGCAAGCTCCAGCGTCTCAACTTCCTTTGCCAAACCACCTTGCGTGGACTCGTTTGCCTTCTTCTTGCCCTTCTTGCCCCTGGGCCGGTAGGAGGAGCGGTCGCGAAGAGGCAGCCATCGCTCGGGATCCATTTTCCTCCCCTCCTCGTAGTTCTTGGGCAGCTTTCTTCTGCGCTTCTTTCTGGCACCTGCTTCGGTTGGCTGGTTCTCCATTCTTCGCTTTGTAGCCTGATTAGCTGGCGTCGCGAGTGTAGCGATGCCTTCGCCAGCCAACTGGCTAGCGTCGACGCCTTGAATGAGACTCTCGATGGAAGGGAGGCCCATCAAGTATGGCTTGGCCCTGGATGCGTTTGATGTGGCGAACGATGCCACCAATCCTGCGGCTGCAAGATGGTCCGCATCGGCGCCGGGCTTCTCGCAAAGTTTCTCGAAAGCAGCACCTGCGGCAGCGAGATCAACAGGATCAGATGACTTGAGCAACTCGGAGCCGGCACCTCGGAGCAGCGAGTCGGCGTGGCGACCATTCCGCTTCTCCCAAAACGAGGAGGCCTTGGCCAACTCTGTGCGTATACCGGTTTGGCGTCCTTGCTGCCTGTAAAGGGAGACCACCAGAGCGACCAGACCAGGGGAGAAACGAACATCATGCGTTCCCTGCTTTTCCAGATTGTGCAGGAACGTCTCGAGAATAGACAGTGCCGCACCGGTGTTGTTCGCGACGAGATAGAGCTGGATGATTGTGAGAACCAATCCTGTCTCCGTGGGGCGTTTCTCAAGCAGAGGAATGACGTGCTTCACGTCTACATTCTTGGATGGACGTAGAGCATGGGCCGCAGCGTTGATGGCAGAGAGGACGTTTGTGTTGGCGGAGACCGTAGGCGTAGCCTCGGCCAAGGTTCTAGAAGTGCCCCTGTAGACGCCGGCCAGCTTTTGTGCCTGGACGCCCAAAACATACTGGTTCTGCTTCAATGAGCTCTCTTGGTACTTGAAAAGCTTTGCCTGCTTTCTCAGAGCGGATGCCAGCTCGCCTTCACGCTGGGCGAGGTAAGGATTCTCGACTCGGGTCGCGAGAGCCGACTTGTTATTCTGGTTAATCAGCTTGGACTCGGCGTCCCAACTACTGCACAGATGTTAGCGAGGTCGAGATTTGAACAATTGAGCGAAACTTACTCCGAAACGGACAGGCGGTTCTGAACGTCAAGTGCCTCCCCAAGCTTGCCTAACCTGGAATATACATAGACCTGCTGGACCATGATTGGTACCATCTCGGCTTGTTTTTCGTCCTCGGAAAGATCCTCAGAATCATCACACAAGCGCAGCGAGCGCTGGAGCAGCGTCGATGCTTTGGACAACTCTCCGCGAGCAATGCAGCCGCAGGCGCTGTTATATGCGAGCTCGAAGGTATCGATATCTGCCGCGAGGGGGGCCGGCGCGCCCTCGTTACTCAAATCGTTCACGGCTTTCCACTCCAATTGAGCAGCGGATGCCAGGTAGTTGATGTTAAGGTCGTTCTCCTCGTCCTGAGGATCATCAAGCAGACCTTTGTAGAGATCGAGTGCGTCTTTGAAGTCCTCAGCACGGTAAGCAACTTGAGCAGCAACGTGTCGAAAACTGCGCTGTGGTCTCAAGTTTGCGATCTCGCGGGCCGCCTGAAGTTGTCCAGTCTTGTACAGGGCGTAAGCCTTCTCGAACACACACGCATCCTGGAGCTTGTCACCACCATCGGCTATGGCGCGAAGGGCGTCGTCGAAGCGATCGAGTTTGAGCAGGGCGACGACGCGGGTGCGGTGGGCAGTGAGGTCGGTCTTGGACTCCTTTATCGAAGCGTTTGCGGCTTTGAGAACCTCTTCATGGTCTTGTATAGAGGCTGCACGCAGCAAGGCGCTGAGGTTGGCGGCGGGGTCTGAAGGAGCCATCGTGAGGGGTGGGACGTGTGGTTTTGCCTCAGTTGGGCCGATCCGACATGTTCGATCGATTTGAGGAGATCTCAAGCAAAGAATCGGCTTGGATTCGCGCCTTGCGACAAGAGCAGGTGCGCAGCAAAGATGATGAAGGGACCGCAGGTACCTCTGGGGGTGATTTCGGCGTCGCGGTTGTCGCTGGCGTCTCAATCAGACATCAGAGAGGAAAGCCACGGTGCGGTGCAGCTCAGGATTGAAATGTGGATAGGTAGTGGGGCAGAGCCAGTGACCTCCAACGGAGACTCGGGGCTTGTAATGCTTGTAGTCCGCCACGGAAGCATGGCGTGTAGGTACATTACGGGTTTAAACAGAGTTTGTTTTTCGATACCCTTACGCTGGTTAACAACCTACCCACAATCTCAATTTTTGAAGTCTTCGATACTCCGTCAGTCAGTTACTGCACCGAAACATGGACTTTTCGTGGCGTTGTCTAAGTCCATCATAAGTCATGCATTCCGCATACTTCGTAAAATCGCATTTCGTCTTGACGACGCACGCTTCCCGGCGCCTTTTCCTTCGCTATGTTCTTCAACCGACCCCAGACCATGTCACTTCGTTCTCGTAGTGAACCAGCCGACAGCTGACATTTCACCCCCTTCCAAACAATCCCCACAACCTCTTTTGTTTGGTCTCGGAATGGTACGGCCTCAGGGGATACGTTGGCAGCATGGTGTACACGTCTGAGACGGCCGAGTTGTCTGACTGCCTTCGATGTAGCTTCCTAGGGCGAACCTCACCCAGTTTCGTGCTTCCTGACGACATGGTGGCCGATGAGACGCGCTTGTCCGGGCTGTTTTGAGGAACAACAATTGTGCTCGCAATCAGAGCAGGCAGCGGTTCTCGTACCTCAAGCTCCTCCGGTCGGTTGACTTTGCCCTTGGTAGACCTCCCATGCTTCGGCCTTACCTCTTTGTTTGGTGGGTGAATTCTTGTGTGGCGGTTGCTCTTCTTGCTCGAGCCCGAGCTAGACTTGGACTTGAGGGATGTACTGCTGAGCCGTCGTGAAAGATCGTTGATGGTTTTAACGGCATCCAAGCGCGATGAGTTGGACAACGACCTCAACGACCGATAGTCGATGGCTGGGCTCTGGGTTCTTGTCATAACCCGCAGCAGGCGCGTCATGGCCGAAGTTAGGCGTTTGATGACCCTCTTGAGTGAAGAGCGGGCCGCAGCTGTGGAAGATATCGGTAAGTATGTGAGAGATCTGCAATGAGTCGGCGCATGCGTACCATCTCCTTTCTCCAGGTGGCTTCCATTGAGGGAGAGACGCGATGAGTAGACTCGCCGCACCTCGGATTGGTCAGAACGCACGCATCGTCGGAGTTGTCGTGGTTGACTATTTCGTCCTGATCCTTTCAGACCCCCCAAAAGCGATAAGCACTTGGAGTACGTCTCCAGTAAGGCGTCAACTTTGTTACTGAATCCGCCCATTGATCCAGAAAGCAGAGCCTCAATGAAACAAGAATGTGTGGTGAGCGTGCGCATCTCCGACCGTGGGCCTTCCCCCTCCCCGGCCTTAATTACATACAAGGCCGGGCCAGCCTAGCTAAGGAGTCATCACAGTACTGGTGGTGCAACCAATCCAACCTCCAGCGAGGACGGGGAACGGCAACGGGGGCAGCTGCACCATCTGGTTGGTTGAGTAACCGCCGCAATGATCCATCCTGACCCTGCAGGCCTTCGCCAGCAATCTGTTCGTGATTGACGAGTTGTCTAGGCTACTGATGGGTTCTTCCGACAATAAAGATTGGTCGCAATCATATCTCGATCTTGTCGTAGGTATGTATGCAAGCAAGCAAGCCACAACTCCAGTGATCACAGCCGGCGATGCCCGTCTTGCTGGGGCTCAAAGTCAGACATCGGGACTAATAGAGCAGACCGGCTTTCTGTTTGTCGGGAACACGTGTGAATGGGCCAGCCACACGCGGGCGGCCTCGATCAGCGGTGAGTTGAGTCAAGTGCAAACATCTAATCTTTCTAGATGATAAGGCAGGCCGGGCCATTTTGCCAGAGATGGACATTGTATTCGTGCTCTGAAGAGTCCCATGCCAGTTCTGGACAGGGATGTTGTTCAAGTAGTCGAATCAGGCCAGGTTGCGATGTCAATTCGCTCGCGCTCGCGCCCGCGCCGAGAGTTGAAGCGTCGGGTTCGGATGGCGTTCCCGCAGGGAACATGATCGCAACCTTGGGCACCGGTCCAATGGACCACCATGAAACGCTCACCGAGTGTCGCCTCCTGGCAAGAAGAGAGTTTGGCACAGCAGCGATGTCATTGTATCTGGAGGTGTGTGTCTGTGGAGATATCATTGAAAGATGCGACGCAGGGCAACATCGCAATAGGCGTGTCTGATTGTCCCATTGTCTGCATGGCCCTTTGGTTGGATCAACGAGCAGTCGGCGAAGGGGGTGTTTCTCCTGTGTGTTTTGCGGCCGGCCGATGGCGTGGGGGTCTAATGCAAGCGGGCAGGCAGGTGGGAGGCACTACTTATTAGTACCCTTACTTTCGGGGCCTCTTAGACGGCACCCCTCCGCCGCTATACGGCACCCCTACGCCCCTAGGGCAGCCCTACTAGCCACACTAGCCCGCCGAAAATCAGCTTTTTTTACCTACCTACCTACCTACCTACCTATTTACTTACTTACTTACTCCTACTTTAGTAATATTTTTTTATATATACTACTAACTTTATAGCTATTTAAACTTTTTAACTACTTTATTTTTTATAATTTTTAGCGCTTCTATATAATAGATATTATAAACCTCTATAGTAAGCCTTTACTTATAGGTATAATATATAGTAATATTAAAGCTATTAAAACTATATTTAATAACTATATTACTACTAATAGCTATACTTTATATATTAATACTTATAAGGTTAGTAGTTATAAGAAGGAGGACTATATATATATTATTTTTTACTACTATAAGGTTAGTATATTTAAGCTTAGTTATATCTCTTATAAAGAGTATTAATAATAGGTTTATATATAGAAGACTAATTACCTCTTCTATTTTACTATTAACTATAAAGATAATAATACTTATATCTCTAATTATATTAATAACTTAAGTATTTATAAGTATAACTATAACTAAGTAGATAAAAGTATAATTACTAGCTAATATTACTAATATTATACTTTAGTTATTATTATAACCTCATAGCTACTAAAGGTAGGGTTAGTAATATAGGTGTGAAAGTATCTATCTTCTGCTCTACCTATCTAGCTATCTAGCTAAATATATAATAATATAGCTTATACGCACCTCGCGTATATATAAGTTCTATAATAAATACTTCCTACTATCTTAAGAAGGTAGGCTATCCTCAGCTATATATAGATAGGTAGAATAAACTACTATTATTACGAATAATAAAAGAAAATTAATAAAATAAGTATATTAGTCTTTATATCTAATCTGTAACCTTATAGTATATAATATAAGAAAAGGAAAATAAAATAAATATAGTAGTTTTATATTAAACTTATAACTATATAATATATATACTATAAACGCTAAATTCTAGCTTTATTAAATAATCCTAATATTCTCTATTTCCTTATTTATATAGTTCTTATAAAACTCTATTTCTATTTATTAATATATAATATTCTTTTATAATAATAAGAATAAGAATAACGCTTAACTTACTTTAATAATCTATATAAAATAAACTAATAAACTTTAAGGTATTAAACCTTATATAAAAATACTCTATTTATTATAACTTATAACTATAATATTAATTATATTATATATATAGTTATATAAGTACTTTATATAATTAGTAGTTTAGTAGGTTATATTTTAAGTTATCTTTTCCCTTAGTTTTCCCTACTAGAGGAAGTAACCTAAGAAGAATAATAATAAGAGATATTATAATATATTAATTCCCTTATTATTATCTATATATTTAAATACTTATAAATACTTAGGATTATTACTTTTTATTATAATATAAGCCTATCTATAACTCTATACTATATAGGTATATATATTATACCCCTAAATATACTTATACTTATACTAATAGGTTATAAACTTAGTTTAGAGATAACCTCTATTCTTTTTACTTTTTTACCTTTCCCCTACTTATCTATATTAGTATAGGTATAAGCGTATTCAGGGGCGTGGTATATACGCCTATATAGTATAGGGTTATAGATAGGCTTATGTTATAATAAAAGGTGATAATCCTAAGTATTTATAGGTATTTAATTATATAGATAATAATAAGGGAATTAATGTATTATTATATCTCTTATTCTTATTCTTCTTAGGTTACCTCCTCTAGTAGGGAAAAGTGAGGGGAAAGATAACTTAAAATATAACTTACTAAACTACTAATTATATAAGGTGCTTATATAACTATACGTATTATATAATTAATATTATAGTTATAGGTTATAGTAGATAAAGTATTTTTATATAA